GTCCTTCTGAGGTTCATTTATTTCCTTCTCGCCCATTCGTCCTCATTCTCCAGTGCTTTACGTATTGTACTTTCTGCACCATAGTCATTCTTATTCTTCCATAGTCTCCATGTAGTTTAACTTTTTCAGCTTGTTATGGATGATAAGTGTATCTTAGGACTTGCATCAGTTTTGCATATCTGCTGGAATATTGGGAGTCTCTGTTCTTTTTTTTTCTTTTTTTAAAAATAATTTCAATATGTTTACAAAATTTGTTGTTAGTGTTCAAACGACATCATATGTTTTTTTCCTCTCGGATTGATCTTGTATGAGTAACTTCATGTTTCGTAGAGTCTCAGTTTTATTAAATGTTCAAATAAAAAAAAAGCGTTATAGACCACCACCATTGTAAACTTGAATCATCCAATGTGTTTGATTGATTCAATGATAATTGTATAACGAATGCTCAGTAACCTGTCAGCTAGACGAGGAGTGAGGTTTGATTGATCAAGCTAATTATCAAAATGGAATGCAATTCACAAATCTAATGCACAGCCAAACTGGAGTTTCTACTTATATTGCTTTATGCTTCTGCCTGTTTTCGGTCCATTGAGTTCATTTTCTCTTTTAATTTTTCCATAATACATATCAAACTGTAGAAAACATCATATTAGAAACCAGCTTCTTTTTTCTAACATCATGTTGTGTGTAGACTTATTTAAACCAACGAAAAACCGACGACCCTGAACCAACGATTAACCGACAGTAAACCGTCAAATATTCCCGACGGAAAACCGATGGTTATACCGACAGTAAACCGATGCTAAACAGAGTACAGAAAAACCGACGCCAAACCGACAGGTTTTTTGCCCAAAACCGACGCCAAACCGACGGGTTTTTTGCCCAAAACCGACGCCAAACCGATGGGTTTTTCCCAAAACCGATGCCAAACCGACGGAGGTTTTTTGCCCAAAACCGACGCCAAACCGACGGGGTTTTTTGCCCAAAACCGACGCCAAACCGACGGTTTTTCATTATTAAACCGACGAAAAACCGAGGGGAGTAATTTTTCACTATTTTCCCAAAACTATTAATTAGTTATTGATTTAGAATTATTTTTTTATAAAACAATTAAATGAAATAATAGAATTAAAATTATAATTAT